TAAAGAATGCATATACATCACAAATTAAGGACTTATGAGTGTCATTAACAGCACAGTTATGTATTTATAAGCTATAAACAGTAAAAAACAGACATGTAGTATAATGAAATAGAACAATGGCTCTAACACCAACATTACAATGTTTTGTCCTGGCTTTAAAATGGTTTTCATGGCACACTGCAATTCACTGTTTGATTATGCCTCAATAACCAGAAGCCATCTGTGTGAAAGAAATACTATTAATATGCTTATGAAGGACCGAGAGGGATCAACATATTTGAATAACACCCCCTTAAAGTAATGTATTCAGCATCTTTGAAGTGAAGAACGGGTTAGATAAGGATTTTTCTAAGTCCGGCACTGAGAATTTGAAATGCCTGCTTTGTTGCTTCCTCTCAGTTCTAGTTACACCATTAATAAAGTTCTAACAAAAATGAGACACTGCTTTTAGCCAGTATACAGTGGTATTTAACTGGGATCTGTGTGCCTGCAAATACGGGCAGTGAGTAGTTCAACTCGGATTGTTTTTGCCGCTGACCATGTGCAAACCATCTGACCTTCCAGAGAATAGTACCCAGCTGCAGAAGAAGGTACAGCTACTTCACAACCTGCAAGTAGTCAGTGCGCCACCAAGCTTCCAGCTTCACCTGTTTCATGAGCGCGCATGAATGATATCTGGAAAATAGTCTGAATTAGACAACATTATGAGGTCCAGTCAAATGAAGGGGTATAAATAACACACAGCCCAAAGATCTGGGAGCTGAGCTCAGTGAAATACAGTGATGTGACAAGACACAGGCCCTGTCTATGTCTGAGCCTCTACAGTGCAGCCTGGGTATGGTTGCAAGCCTCACGTCTCTGTCAGAGACTTCACTTCTCCATCTTTTCTCATGCTGTTGTATCAGTTCTTCCTTGTTGTTTTGCCAATGGACTACACCCTCACCATGCCAGGCTTGCACATGTGGAGAATCACTCCCACAACAAAAAAAAAAGTCACATGACGCCCTGATGTGATACGATTAAGGTGCACATTTGCACGGAACCTCTCTCTCTCACACACACATCTTAATATGAACAAAATTTTAGTGAGGAGTAATGGTTTCATCACCGTAGCAGCTCATTGGAATGCCTGTCAGATTCCAGTTCATTTGCAGTGATGAACCCTAAAAGCATGCATGCACACACACACACACCCACACTTTTCTGTATTTATCAAGCAGATCATTTGTGAGGAGTGTCGTGTGAGAGGTAGCCTGGCAGCCTGATTCATGGCCAGATATTCATAGAGATCATTTAAGTAGACAGCTTAAGGTCTGATCCCCCTCCAACACACACACACACACACACCAAAGAGAGGCACAATGTACATCTCTGAGCAGACCATCAGTGGTTGTAAAACTGTAGAGTCGTAACATTCTCCAGCCTTGGGGGCTTATTAGGAGGCATAAAAGCTGCATGCTACCTTCATTCATAAAAAAACCCCCCCCCACCTGCAGTTTTTTTTTTTTTTTTTTTTTGCTGCTGCTTTCCGACTCTGGGCATTTGAAAAATATAAGCCTCGGCGCCACTATTTTGTACTGCATGACTGATTTGCAAAATAGGCCTGTACTGGAAATGTATCTGAATAAGGCTAGGATTTGCCTCTGTGTGTTATGTGTGTAAGTGCAAATTGCAGTGTCAGATCTCTGCGTGGATGTTGTTTGTCAGGCGTAAACTTGGCATGGCGGCAATTTTTATTCCTCTCTTTACACCGATGTCTAATCTGCAAAAATAGGAGCTGTCGTTGATTATAGTTGAGGGGAGAGAAAGGACTAGGCAAATTGATATTTCCAACTTGGAAATTCTGGTGAATAAAAAAAAAAAGGAAAAAAAAAGCACAGGGCACCCGAGACAGCTCTCAGTTATAAGAATAGAATTATTCATTCACCCTACACTGTGCAAAAGTTCAGTATGGGAGAAATCCAATGCAGCTCAAGTGCAGACAATTACGGGGGCCAGTGTGGCGTTGTGGGAATCTGATTTAGTGAGAGTATTATCTGGGTTTGAAAACAGGGCCAGGCCACTGAGATCACACCTCTTATCTCCTGCATGCGGCACAGCAGTATTGAAGACAGCCTGAATCACAGTAACAGCCTCTTTTCCCAATTCAAATCAAACTGTTGGTTCAACTTAGAACTAGGTCGCTCGCGTTACATGACAGACAGAGTGAAGGGAGAGAGAGTTAGTTGGTTTATGTGGGTGTGTTGCGAGCGTATAATGTGAGAGATTCTGAGAAAGGAATGGGAAAATAAAATATGCTAAAAAACTGAGGATATGAGCGATGGAGATGTGGAGGAGAGAAATTAGAGAGACAGCTGGAGAGTGAGTGAGTGAGTTTATTGTGTGGGAAAATGATCTACAAGTATTTGGTTGACCCTCCCCTTCTCTGCTGTCCCTCGTCTCCCTCCTCATCCTGGCAGCACTGGAACATCTGGCTTTAAAGCAGTCCAATATAAAAAGCCACTGGGAGGCAGGGAGCAAGTGAAGGAAAAGGTGTGAGAAAATGTGTGAAGGATAGATGGATAGCAGAGAGATGCAGTGATACAGAAGCAGCAGAAAAAGACAGTGAGCATGTGTGAGACAGTGCTCTGGGGCTATCATAACTGCAGAACTAGGTCCCTTCAAATGACATTCTTCACCAAATCATATTTCACACGTGGCTACAAAAGGCCACACCACATTTAGAGCACTCCATTCCCTGCAGGGATGGCAACAGCACTCTGGCTTCTGATTCTCCTTCCTCCAAAAAATGGCCACTTGCTAACCATGTGTCTACAGTACATTTACAGTGTATAATAAAAAATGGTGACAGCACCCATGTGCAAAAGTACTTGCCAATAACTCAAAAAGAACTACATTTGCATGCATATAAAAAGGGGACAAAAAAGGATTTAAAGCCAGTACAGTCCATGTTATACTTACTATGGGGATAAACCCTTAAACCTAATGTTTTACTTTCTCTTTGCACAAGAGTGTATTCGATCATTTTAACAGTATAAAGTCAGAATCAGCTTTATTGGCCAGGTGTGTCGGACACAAGAGGAATTTGACTTTGGTACAGCGGCTCTCAATGTGTAAATACATGTCAAATTCATAAAACATACCACAATTAGCTGTATAAAAATGGAACAATCTTTTAAATAAAGACAACTAGGAATGTAACGATATTTGTAATTTCTTGATATTGCAATAAAAAAAATGTCTCGATATGGTTGTGGGACAATAACGGGATCTACATGGTTTTTTTCATTTGTATAACTGTGTGCTAGACAAGACATGGCAGACATGTCATCGTTGGCTTTTACAGCTGTTGTGTGGCAGAGTTTCAATTTTCATGTTTCAATAAATAAGCAAACAGTTTGCAAATGCTGCCAGATGAAAGCAGCACTAGCCCCGTTTAGGACTGAGACAGTCCTGGGTACATCCCAAAAAAACGGGACATGACTGTCTGCGACACTTTAATGGTATTGGGCAAACAAACCAGACACACACACACACACACACACTCAAAACCCAGCACTTAGTAACCCTTAAAGTCTTTTCTTTTGAACACGTAGACCAGGATGAAACACCTCCAGTAAAGCACAAAGCTCCCCTTTATGTGGGTTGTGCTAGTCTGGCATCTTCTTCCCCTCATTCTGGTGTGCCAAGCAGCAGTTTGCTCACTAGTGCCCACAGTGGGTGGGGGTACCTGTGGGGGTCTTTTTATCATGGTAATATTATTACATTAATTTTTGGCATCATTACATCCCTGCATAACACTACTTTCTTGAAAGTGGAACCAGTGTGCATAGCCTCCTTTGCTGTGTGCCAGACCAAACTGCCTTGTAAAAAAACAGCGGTTAGGCAGTGCAGCAGCCTGAATGACAGGTATTGTTGACAGTTACCTGTCAAGCACATGGAGTGTTGCTCTCAAGTCACAGTGTGATCACTGTCATTTGCAATGCTGAACAGGTTTATGTAAGGTTTTGTAGGTAAACCAAGCCGACTGCTGTCAAGAGCTCAAACTGTTGTAAGGCCACTCTGATGCAATCATCTCTCCAAGAAAGAGCTACCAGAGGAAATAAAGAACAAGGAATCCAGATAGGCTTCAAAACAGATTAAAAGAAAATGTGGCACTATCCACAAAACTGCAGTAAGTATATCACATCTATTCATTTTTTTCCCCAGTTGCATCACATGCCTGGAAATCACTGAAATCCAACAGGCAGGAAGCAACAGATTTCATTTGCATTGTGACTCTACCTCAACAATCCCTGCTCCCAAAGTAGGTCAGCACGAATCGGCGCCTCTGAAAATAATAAAAGGTGAGCCCCTCATTCTCTCAGGGGTGAATGCTCCGCTTTCATGCAACTCAGATGCCTCCACTGCGAAATATGCCATATCAGCATTCTCCAAAACTGCAGGCATTATATTTGGGTATATTAAGGGACAACATTGCAATCAGTATGTGAAGGTGCTCAGCAGCCACTGTAAAATTTTAACAAGACAATAGCCAATAATCACATACACAGTGTAAATATGCACTGTTGTTAGAAGGCGCTGGAGCTGAAATTGTAAGGATGTTAGTGTGTGACGGGGGCTGCTCCGAAGACTGAGTGCGCTGCTACAGCCTCATCCTTTTTCATCAGTGTTTTCCCAACCCGAAAAGTGAGTTGGAAAACACAGTCTATTCCTTTGGGGGTGTGTAGCTTTGAGCAAAGTGCACTTCATCTACAAGAGTAAGTCAGAGCACTGTATATCACCTCAGCACAGACACACTGTCCTCACACACAAACACACACTATTACACGACAGTATACCCTCCCATACTCCCAGATTCATACACAAATGAGCCATACTCTTCCTCGCTTTGCCTCCCATTCTCACACATGGACACGCCCTCTGTCAGTACATGCAATGTCCAGAGACTGAGCCTCATGCACAGTTAATGTCTCTGCTGTCCAGATGATTAACGTTACCTGATTCACATTCCCAAACGTTGTCCAAATTCCACTCTCCTCCTGCTCCACCTTCTGTATTGAGCTTACTCCTGGGATTCAGGTAAAAATAGCTGCTCCACCCTGTTCTTCTCTGCTGTCACACAAACCGCCATGGGATATCAGACCTGGGCAAAATTGATTTGATTGAGAGAAAGGCTTCCACAGCTCATAAAATAATGCACTAGGTATCACTGAAATTTCAAAGTGTGCATACATTAAAGTCTTAACTTTTCATCATTAACATGAGCTATGCCAAACATAGGGAAAATTTTATATTCAAAATGCACCTGACTCATAATAATATTAGCTTTTTGCTGCTACAAAGGGACAGAATGTGAATTTCACCATGTACTTTAGTTCAAGATTATGAGGGCTCCAATTTATGTTTTTAAAAAATTCTGACAAATTACGTTAGCTCTCGTTTGTTTCTTCAAGAAGTTAGTCCTAGCACATGATATGCATATTTTTCTGTGAGCAAGAAAAAGAGTTTAGGCCTAGTTAATCTGAAAAATGCCAAGACATTTATGTTTGACACTAAGCAGCTTTACACTGTACTGTAGCTTTTTGCTCTCAAGGTTTACAGCAGGTTCACATTTTTTACAAGACTGTTATGAAACAATGCTCACATGCCCCTATGCCCATGTTTTTCCTGCCTAGTCCTGGAGAGATTCCTCCCCAAAATGATTCTAACGAAGGACAAGTGATAAACTGCAAAAATGCTTTTGTGAGTTCATCCAAAACTAATATGCAGCTCTCGCAGTCTGAACTAGAAAGCTGAAGTGTTTACTATCTAAACATCGAGTCATTTTGGGATAAAATTCCGTGTTTGAGCTGCTGTTTTACACTGTAGCTCAGCAAGAAAACATCAAGGCCATACACCAACTCTACAAGTCTGCAAAGAATCATCACTTTGCATATCAGCCAGTCTGGCAGACTTAGGTGTTGTAATGAAAAGAGACTTTGGGTGCGACAAATGACCATTTTGATCCCGTGTCATAGCTGATGCAGACCGAAGCCATATATACAATGTGTACAGAAAGTATTCAGACCCCCTTAAATTTTTCACTCTTTGTTATATTGCAGCCATATGCTAAAATCATTTAAGTTCATTTTTTTCCTCATTAATGTACACACAGCACCCCATATTGACAGAAAAACACAGAATGTTTGACATTTTTGCAGATTTATTAAAAAAGAAAAACTGAAATATCACATGGTCATAAGTATTCAGACCCTTTGCTGTGACACTCATATATTTAACTTAGGCTCTGTCCATTTCATCTGATCATCCCTGAGATGGTTCTACACCTTCATTTGAGTCCAGCTGTGTTTGATTATACTGATT